AGGGCGGCGCGCCCAGCCGGCGGCGGGGACGCGGGGTCGGGGACGGCGGGTGGCTCTGGCGGCCCCACGGGCCACAGCGCCCGCGCCTGGGGTTTTTTGTGGTTTTCACTTTTTTTGAAATTAGTGATCGATCGTACGTGACCTCTATGAGAAGATAAAAATATTTTTGAGAGCTAAACGTAAAATGTATAGCTTTTGTGTCTTTTATTATTTTTGCAATCAACTTTTAAATCAAAGACACACAAAGACAACCTAAATTCAAAGCAATGACTCTTTCTTGTTTCTTTTTCTTTCTTTCTTTCTTTCTTTCTTTCTTTCTTTCTTTCTTTCTTTCTTTCTCTCTCTCTCTCTCTCTTTCTTTCTTTCTTTCTTTCTTTCTCTTTCTCTCTTTCTCTCTCTCTCTTTCTTTTTCTTTCTTTCTCTTTCTCTCTCTCTCCCTCTTTCCTTTCCTTCCTTCCCTCCTTCCTCTTTCTTTCATCTCTCTCTCTCTCCCTCCCTCCCCCCTCATTTCTTTCTTTCCCTCTCTTTCTCTCCCTCCCTCTCCCTTCTTTCCTCCTTACCCCTCCCCCCAACGGATTCTTTCTCTGTCACCCAGGTTAAAGGGCAGTGACCTAATCAGAGCGCACTGCAGCCTCGAGCTTCTGGGCTCAAGCGATTCTCTCCCTCAGCCACCTGAGTAACTGAAGCCATAGGCACAAGCCACGCTGCCTGGCTAATTTTATGTTTTGTAGAGACAAGGTCTCACTACGTTGCCCCGGATGGTCTCGAACTCTTGGCCTCCAGTGATTTGCCTGCCTCCAGCTCATAAAGTGCTAGGATTACAGGCATGAGCCACTGGGCTCAGCCAACATTTTTTAATGGATGGAAATAGGATGATTTTGGCAGCTCACAGAGACAGAAGATGTGTAAGACTGGCACTTCGTCTAGAAGCTGCCTTTTCAGTTGAATATTCTGCTTATACTCTGAGAAAACAGCTTGGAGAAATAACATTTGATTCAAGCGCTTTATCATGAGTGCTATTGGTAAGTATTACAGAAAAGATGAGGCTAAGATTCTACTTGTTTTAAAGTTCTACAGTTTTTTAAAAGTATTTTTTTCCTCTGAGAATATTTGGGCTGAAGGTGCTTTGAAAAGAATGCAAAAATAAAAATGTGGCAGATAATTTGTTTTATAATGGACACTCATCTGAGTCTTTTGTGTATCTCCCACACTGCATTGCCTTTTTGCTCTTTTCAGGCTTGGATTACAAACAAATACATGGAATCCCACTGGAACAGATAGTTGCTTGGAAGTACAAGCACCAACCGATGTAGACAGACCTGAATTTCTTCTGGTGGCACCTGCTAGTTGTGTGACCCTGGGCATTCCCGAATTGTACAGTGAGATGTCGACTAGGCTAAATTGCTATTACATGAGAAAATATAAAGTTACTTAGCATAGTGCTCATGCATAAAAGATAATAAATGTGAATAAGCATTATTCAAATTATTATTTAGAGAGGCTAGTGCCCTTAAAAAGAGGGAAGAAGCCAGGCACAGTGGCTCATGCCCGTTATCCCAGTGCTTTGGGAGGCTGAGGTGGGAGGATCACTTGAGGTCAGGAGTTTGAGACCAACCTGGGCGATGTATTGAGACCCCATCTCTACAAAAATATGTTTGAAAAAATAGTTGGTTGTGTTGGTGCATGCCTGTAGTTCCAGCTACTCAGGAGACTGAGGCAGAAGGATCATTTCTGAGCCCAGGAATTCGAGGCTGTAATGAGTGTGCCACTGTACCACAGCCTGGGCAATAGAGTGAGGCCCCATCTCCAAAAATAAACAAACAAACAAACAAAAAAGAGAGAGAAAAGAAGAAGAAAATATTGTAAAGGGGCTTCCGGGGGGAAGCTAGGCCCAGAGGTGGCTCATAGTTATGGGACCTCATATGGTGTCCCCACGAGGGGTAGGCTGTGTGGTGTTTTCCAGAAAAGGAGCTCTGTCTCAGGAGCACTGGTCAGAGCAAATCAGGATCCAGTCCTGCAGCAAAGGGACAGGCTATACAGTGGGACTTGAGCAGGTTTAGGGATCTGGTCACTGAAGCTGGGCCAGGAGGTGAAGGGTAACTGCAGGATAAAGGTCAAAGCACAGGGACCTGGAGGTATCAGGTTACAGAAGGATCAGACATTATGATGAATAGGTGTTGGGCTATTTCTCTCTCACCCACCCACTACCTACCTTCCTTCCTTCCTTCCTTCCTTCCTCCCTTTCTTCCTTTTCACAGGGTCTTGCTCTGTCGCCCAGGCTAGGGTGCAATGTCATGGCCATAGCTCACTGCAATCTCAAACTCCTGGGCTCAAGTTCCCCTGGCTAAGTTTTTATTTTTATTTTTGTAGAGATGAAAGTCTCACTATGTTGCCCAGGCTGCTCTCGGACTCCTGGCCCTAAGTGATTCTTCTGCCCTGGCCTTCCAAAGTGCTAGGATTATAGGCATGAGCCAGTGTCGCCGGCCATATTTTTTCTTAGTAACATCTTAACCCGGTACTTGAGACTAGGACAGGGCTAAGCCTATAAATGATGTTCAAAGGGTCCCCATCATGGGGATGGCAAGGGGCACTGAGAGGAGCCGGCAGGAAGCTGTGGTCCAACACCCCTCTAGTTCCGGGCCCATTCTGTCCTCACTTCTCTGCCTCTATTGGGCCCTCAGCTTGAAGGGCATGACTTTAGTCCAACTCCCATGTTGACTGATGATTCCGGACTCTAGTTAATCTCGCCATAGAATTCACAATACACAGGCCACTTCCCTTGACCGGTTTAGATCGACCCAAGTGCTCCCTGATGTCTTATTAAAGAGAAGCCTGGAATTTTCTAGTAATATTTGCCTTTTATACTTCTATCAGTGTTACTGGCATTCTCTCAGGATTATCCCACCCCGTTGTTCCCACATTTCATATCCAATTGTGACTGATCAGATTAGTTATCCCAATCTCTCTCTCTCTCCTAATTCCCTCTGCTTCTCCCCCAGCAGGCTCAACTCCCATACCATGTGCATGTACTCTGTCCACTCTGAAACCTTAGGTTTTAACAATCTATTTGCCTCCTATAAAATGTACCACTTTGTTTGTTCCTTCGGTCATTTAGTCACTATAATTATCCCTAGAGAGGCTGCATTTTGCGGGGCCTGAAGGTTCTGGCCTATAACTCCTACCACCCATGCTAGAGATCACTGTATATGGAGCTGGTTCAAGTTCCCCAATTGCACCACTGACTTCTCAGTGAAGAACTTTATTTCTTCAACCAGTACTTTTTGTTTGAAAACTTCTATTTACTGGAGATAACAGACAACTGGGGAACTCCAAAAGCGGGGAGGATAGGAGGGACATGAGAGCTGAAAAACTACCTGTTGGGTACAGCATTCGCTCTTTGGGTGATGGGTACACTCAAAGCCCAAACCTCACCATTATGCAATGTATCCATGTAACAAACCTGCTCCTGTATCCTCCGGATCTATAACACAAATCATTAAGTAAATAACTATTTTTTTGTATTATCTTGAAGATGTGGGGTACAATTCAGGGGTAGGTATACAAATGTTCATTATGCAGGTACCCTTGTTGATGAGGTGTGCCCCCCCCGGCAGTTTCCCACTAGTACATAAATAACTATTTTAAAAGAAAACATCTATTTAAGAAGGGCTTAAGTCTTTTTTTTTTTTTAAGAATCAAGGCATACATTGGGAGACTTTGTCACATACATATATTGTGTGAAGGCAATAGTAGCGGGCATGGTACCCACTGGGTGGTTTTGTAAGCCTTTTCCCCCCTTCCTCCCTCCTTTCGCAGTACCTGCTGTTTGTTGTTCCCGTTTTTGTGCCCATGTGTGCCCAATGTTTAGTGTCCATCTATGAATGAGAACATGTGGTCATTTTTTGTTTCTGCAGTAATTCACTTAAAATGACAGTCTCCGGCCACATCCATGTTGCTGCAAAAGACATGATTTTGTTCTTCTTTATGACTGCGTAATATGAGATGCCTTAAACCTTTTAGACTTTTGCACCCTGTGAAAGAAATAAGGTTCTAGAGAGCCAATCTTTTCAACAAATCCTTGGTTTGAGTCTGGGTAAAACAGTTATCAAAGAATTAACTGGAAAGAAAAAAAAAGAATCTTGTTCTAATTATACTAAAGCCTTTCCCTTCTGCAAAATCCTCTGACCCAGTTTCTATCCCTTGAAAGGCAAGTGACTGTAGATGAGTCTAAGAAAATTGGCTAAATATTGATCTAAAAAGTCAAATTCGTGCATCACACTTATTTGATTATCCTGAAAACTTACCAGACAGAAAGTTTTAACTTTTATTCACCTTCGTTGTTACCTTCTGAGCAGCCCTCTCCATAGCAACTGAAAACTTCTCTGGGCTGCAATAATCCTCTCTAGCTCCCAGAGCACAGTCAAAGAATTTTAAAAACAGGGGACTTTGTAACTGTGAAATACTCTGAGATTTAAAAGGCAGTGGAGCTCCAGATAAATGATCGTTTTTCTTTCTTCTGAAGGTAAGCACAGGGGTTAGAAATGTTTATATCATCCTCTCTCATTTTTTAAATGCTAACAAAAGAATCTTAAACTCTTCTTTTCCTTTAACCATGAAAGTAATCCCAGTAGTTTGTTACTAATTCACAATCATTACCAGCTCTTCTCTGGGTTAGGGTTTGACAGGAGATGCTGTTAACAGTTTGTGTCCCTTAAGCCATCAGTGGAAAAGATTTTTTTTTTCTTCCAGAAAGCTGATTGGTTCTAGAGTCATCTCCTACTTCTTTAATGACCACTGGGTGAGTGGGTATATCATGTTCTTTAGGTTTTGAAATTCTCTTGTTTTCCTAAGATACTTCATACTCTGGAGTCTTGACCCTTCTTTTTCTTTTTAATTCAGTAACTTTATGGGGTACACATAGTTTTTTTACATGGATGCATTGTATGGTTGACTTTTAATAAACTAAAAATTGACCCGTGTTTTCTAGACTTTACTATTTCCTTGCCTAAAACCTTTTAATTCAATGTTATATTCGTAATTTATTAGAATGTATGTATTGTTTCTCTATTTTTGTTTAGGGATGAGGCTCACAAATCACTTGGAGTTCTTTACAATGGATTAAAAAAAGGTGTTTCCTATTGTAGGTCTTATAACTTGCACCACCTGCAGATAAACAGAAACTTGTTCTGAATTTTTGATGCTATGTTTAGTTCAGGGAGAGACAATCTAACACTTTTTGGCTATTCTTCTGCAGTTTGAAAGTCTATAGCCCTGGTAGTTGCCTGCTGTTTGGGGTTATAAAGTACCTACAGACCCCCTGACGTGTAGAAACAGCTTGTCATTGCAAATCAGCTTAGCCACCCAATTAATGAATCCTTTCAAACATGTTGGAGGCACATAATTGAAGCCTTTATTTTTTCCCCTTTACCACAGAAATTCCTTTGGTTACAAGTTTACCCTGTGAATGCCAACGCACCTATCTCCATCCAAGACGGACTCAAGGTAAAGGAAGACTGGAAATGTGCTTCTGGACAAAGCTTTCAGTATTTTCGGTGCCATTATTCCTTCTACTCAGCTTTGTTCCCTCTACTGAGACAGACAAATCCTCAACCCAGGACAGCAGAGGCATTGGGAGTCTAAGCCAACTGGCAGACCTACTACGGGTTCTCTCTGCTGGTGACCACCCACCCCTCAACCAGTCAAGGAGCCTCATCAAGACATTGCTGGAAAAAACTGGGTGCCCACGGAGGAGACCTGGAATGCCAGGAAATTGCAATCTGGTTAGTGAAATAAGATGGGTTCAGGTATCAGGGCATGTGCAAAAGAGAGCAGTGGATTCTATAGCCACGGATTTCAAATGCAAATCTTCTAATATCCAAATGGGCAATGCACTGTGGTGAAATAACTTTCATATTTGGGATACAACAAATCATTCAACAGTCTGCATATAGCACTTAGAGACGGAATTTTTGTTGTTGAAAAGGTAGTAGTATGTAGGGCTTTCTAGAGCCCTTCTGCACGTTTAGAGGTATTTATTTGTGAGCATGAACTTTTACTTCTCTTTTCTTTCTGGTTTACTCATCTTTTTTTTTTTTTTTGAGCTTGCAGTGAATTTGCATGTGACTAGTTAGATACATGCTATTTGTTTAGCATAATAATAGCAATCTAATATTTTCCTAATGTTGAATTTTTGAGTACTGTTTCTTGGCTATCAATTGGTGTTTTCTGGTGTTTTGCATGGTGGGTAGTTAATGATTGGATAATCATCTTCTTTAAAATGAGGAGACTGAGCTAAAGGAGAGGAATGCCACAGGTGGAGCTGAAATTAGACCCATGGCTCCTGAGACCCAATTCACAGGCTTAGCCTACTCAACAAAGTGAATCTCAACGCTGATTGCATGTCAGAATCACCTGGGTAGGTTTTCCCAGCTACCCATATTGGGGCTTCATCCTCCAGAAAGTGAGATCTCACTTGTCTAGGATGGAATTTTTGAAAGTCACTTCAGAGGTAACTTTTAATGTGATGTCAGTGATGATTGAGACTCTCTTCATTAGGGTGGGTGGGTAGCATGGTAGGGGACTGATGGACCAGCCCAGGAAGTGAGAATCGTTGTGTTAAAATGGTTGTAAGCAAAATCCAACACAAGCATTCTTTACCATCCCTTTCCTGACTGATGAGAATTTTTTGAGGATGGAACCACAAATGCATAAACAAAAACATGAATAAATATATAAAACCAATGGTAATAACTGCCTCCAAAATACATTTGGGCAGAGTTTTCTCAATCATGTATAGTTCTAGGGGTGAATGGGGGACATTTCCTGGTCAAATGTTTTGGGGTTTTTTTCCTAATAGAAGAGGTCTTGCTCGTAGAGAAAATTTTTCTCAGCTTTGTGTGAACAATAAATAATTTAATAATTATTAAAATACCCAATGGTTCCCAGAGGAAAGGTGTTATAATAGGCTACTCATCTATGATGACATTAATATATATAGATAGCAACATAAGGCATCCCACTGGAAATAACCAGAAATCATATCTTATTAATATCCTCTGAGAATTTGCTTCAGGGGAATGTTCTCCTTTAATGACATGAAGTGCCTTATTAAGGCTGGTTGAATATTAGTTTTGCTGGGGAGAATGTAAACACGCAAAATTGTTCTCCATTTTCAGAGCTAAGGGAAGGATTGTTTTGTGCTTATTGTTTTCTGTGACATCGTCAGGAATTGAGTCAATTTGGTCTCCATTTGAATTAGTTTCATTCCTAGGATTTGAAACACTGTCTTTAATAGCTTCACCCTCTTGCTGCTGATAATTCTCCTCCTCTGTGAAAGAAACTGAGATGAAACAAAGCTTTGCCTGCTCAGAAGTTTGCAGCTCACCCGAATCACCCATTAGGGAGGATCCCAGGAAATGTCTCCGTGTCATTCATGAAAAGCAAGAGGAAACAGTTCTCTTGGTTTCACAAACACCTGGGTTCTGACACAAACCACAAGGCTTCAGCTTGTTGGCGTGTCTCCTTTGTCATTTGTAGGGACTTTGCTGACAGGCAGGGTTCATTGTAGAAATTCTGTGGTCAAAGGGAGGATAAGGGGTTCTGTCTTGTTCATATCCCTAAATGTCTGAAAAAAGAGGGAAGTAAGCATATGGAATTTGTAAGGAGAAAAAAGTTTCTAATTTTAGGTCTAGGTAAAAAAAGAACTTTTAAAATCAATCCGAAGATCTGAGACCATTATGCATTTAAAAATAAAATCATTCAAGCTGCAGCCTTTGAAAATAGATATTCTTGCCTGATTCTGGCTTTTCTTTCTTTAATGTGAAGGGTTAGAATGTAGTTTTAATGAACTTAATGAGGGATTAAGTAATTCCAAAAGAATAAATTCCACTTCAGTAATGATGACAACCACAATCCTACACAGGTTTCTGAAAGGAACAGAGCCTTGTTCTGGCACCTTCTAGTGTTAAGAAATGCAGAACATTGACTTTCTCATCTGTAAGACTGAGGAATGAGTTCCTCCTCAGGGAGATCTCTGTGAGGACCACATGTACGTGTATGTACTCCTCTGGGAAATCTCTGTGAGAATCATGTGGATGTGTTTGCACTTCTCAGAAAGATCTCTGTGAGGACCACAGGGATGTGTGTGAACTGCTCAGTGATAATTCTGTGAGGACTACATGGAAGAGTATGGGTTCTTCAGGGAGATCTCTGTGAGGACCACGTGGACAGTTATGCACTCCTCAGGGAGAGCTCTCTGAGGTCCACTGGGCATATATGCACAAGCTGGGGAGCTTAAGTTCTCTCTGTTCCCTTATAGTCCCTGTACCCCACAACAATGTCTGAACCCTCCTCAGAATCCCCCTCCTGTCTGTCCCCAAGTCCCCCTGAACTGTCCTAGGTGCTCAGGATATAGGACAATAACCAAATTCTCCAGGCAGTTCTCAGACATATTCAAGGCACAGGACCATTGCTTTAAGGCTTTCCATTTAATTCACACCCCATCCTTGACTCATGGGTCATAACTGTCATGGGATTAAGTGTGGAAAGCACTCAGCTTTATCCTAACTTATTTACCCAACAAGTTCATCTTAATTCCTCTCAGTTAAGACCTTTTTTTGTCAATCAAAAAAGCCACTACATCTGCTGCAGACCCTAAAGAGCCAGTATCTGCCATCAGTGACATCCTTCCCGTTCTTTGTCTGACAGAATAAAAACGAAATACACCTTTCCTCTTGTGTTTCACAGTCAACTGCTGACCAGCCCTTCAACACCTCCCACCCCCAAAAAAGAACTTACACAAATCCAAGAACTTAAAGACAACAGTAGATTTACCCATGACTCAAATTTTACACATATTTGGGGATCTAAAACCTCTAAAGTTGATCCTGCACGTCTAACAGCTGCTTTATTAATGTAGAAGAAAACTACTGTGTCACGTTTTGTCACTGAGGCACTCACTTGGCATAAGTGACAAACAAAGCCGAATTCAGCTGGGGAGGCCCTCTGATGTGGCTACAGGGTGTGACAGACAATTACTACCAAGTAGCAAGTTGTCTGTTTAGATTGTAAGGAGGGCCTCTCCTAGAACCGTAATCAGTCTTTCCCCAAAGTTTATTTCCTTATGAAGTCATTAAAACGAATTCCCAGAATCTGTAGAGATTTTTTTTTCTTCACTCTCTTCTTAAATCTTATGCCTCCACCTGACAAGATTAAAAGGAAACTCAATGGATTACTCCTGAATGAGTACATTCTTCTTTCACAAAGAATTATTTCACCAGCAGCAGCAACCTTGGGCGGGTCTTGATGCCTATGCGATGGCAGTATTTGCAAAATTTTGCTAAACATCTTCCAAAAACAGTGAGCCAACTGCTGAAAACTTTAACAAAACAAATCTAGTGGTGATGAATTGAAAATTCCTGTCCCGTTGTCACCCAACAGCTCCTTAGCGCTTTCTGTCATATCTATGCCTTCAGGAAGACTTCATATTATTTTATACTAACTTTCTTGAGGCTTCCTACCATATTATTTTCTCAAGCTACCACCATCTGTATTAAGGTAACTTCTCTAAGAGTCAAACATTGTAAAAGGAAGCAATGTTTTCAGCCCATGGTCATTTGACTCACAGTTAAGTTTTAAACAGTTGGTTTCAAACAATTAAAACCAAGTACACCCATGTTGTGTAGGAAACTTTAAAAACAATTTAAAACAAGGTTAATGTGACATCTGTTCATTCAAGGTGATCAAAATTTCTAGTCAGACAAAATAAGATGCTTCCATAACTATTTCAAACCTTCCAAAGTTAGAGAGCAATTTTATCTTCCATGATGCATACTTTTTACGTACCAGTCCTTCAATGCCTACCTGCGTGATTACAATGGAGACCCTGTGCCCTGGGGTCCCATGCCATTCCTATTCCAACCCTAGAAGTGTACACGGCAAAGACAGTGAAGAGGAAACACGAATGAATAGCACTCTCAGGTCCCTCACACAGGTTGACATGTGGTCACTACTCTGCTGTGTGCTCGTCCACCAAATCCTGCCACATGTTTGTGGTTTGATGGCCTCATGAGCATCCTTGTGTTGTGGGCACCCCCCTTCCAACCCACCCAGCTTCATCAGACAACCTGGGTGCACTCGAACGTGTATCAACATAAACTCATTCAACCCTTTGGCTGTATCATGTTCTCATTCTGATTGATATTAGAGTCTGACCAATCTCCGAGTCTCCTAATTGACCTCTCTTCCTACCAAATTGGAGGGAGGAAAGATTACTGATTGAAGGGGCTTCTCATTAAGTACATGGGTGGGTCTACAGCCCGTGTTCTCCATGGCACTAAAGAAAGACATAAGAGAATAGAGTTTATCCCTGGTGGAGCAGGAATTGAGACCTATAACACTTACTACCATTACCTGTGTGGCTTTAGGCAAGACCCTCTCTTAGACTTGGTTTTTATGTATACTGTGGGTACATTTTCCTGATAGGGGAAATTAAAAACAAAAAACATAAACCATATTTGACTCTGTACAGCATCCTGTGCACACAAATATGCCCATTAATTCATTATGCATTAAATAATTGAGTAATTGGTATTCTGAATGCTTTATATTATATGGAAATATTTGGTAGGTTGTTACAGGCTGGGGACACACCGTTTTTCCATTTGAAACAATGGAATAGGGCTCCCACTATTAAAACATTCATTATCTTAAACATTTTCCAGAACAAATTAGATGATGCACCAAGGAATGCCTGAATGCGTAAACACTCACCACATTGCCAGGCACTTGGATGTCAATAAGTGGTGACTAATATTCTAAGAGTTTGGTTTCAAGTGGTTATTTGGTACAAAAAAATGACTTCATTATATTTTTCTTTCAATTGATTCACCTCTTTGGGTCTTGGTTTCAGCCCTGCCAACAGACACTGGTGCATGGACTGTTCTTGTGGGCTACTTAGGGAACAGAAAAGGGCTGCCATGGTTTCAGAGATGAAGCTAATATTCACATTGAGAATTGCCCTTGTTGGGACCCCTGTGTTACTTCTGTTTGCTGAGTTCTTGACCCCCTGCATTTGAGTTAGGGAGGGAATAAAATCTGTGTGGCTTTGTAAAAAAAAAAAAAAAAACATGATTATGCTTTGCTTTGGAGATGGATGACATTTGTTTCTTCCTGATTCAGATGGTACACACCAGATGCTACCCAGTGGGTTGCACAGCAGATACTGAATTAGAATCCCTCAAACTTCTACCTTAGACAGCAGATTAATAGATTTTTTAGTAAATTGTCCCCACAGTGAGACAAATCCCTCTGGGACTCAGGACAGACATTCCTAAGTGCCTTCACTCTGAGCCTGCTGTTGCTGTGCTATGGAGCTGCCTCTCAGATCCTACAAAAATTCTCAGGAGCTTCCTAACTATCTCTGAAGGAAGGCAGTGTCTCTCTTGTAAAGATGACTTCCTGTCCACAATTTCTGTGTCTGTCTTCTTCTCACTATCTTACATTATTATCCCAACCCTCTTATGCTATGTAAACTTCTCAGATTCCAGGTCCCAGGCATGTGACTGTGGTTTCCAAAACAAATAAGGCATCACAGTACAGGGGAATAAATACTTTGTCTTCACACTTTTAGGTTCTGTGACTGAGACCCGTGAGCTGAACTGATAAAAGACAGATGTACAGGATTAAAGGCATACAAACTTTATTTGATGTTAATATTTTTATGTGGTAGCCGGGCTCGGTGGCTCAGCCTGTAATCCCATGCTTTGGGAGGCTGAGGTGAGTGGATTGCCTGAGCCTGCGGGTTCGAGACCCACCTGGGCAACTTGGCAAGACCTCATCTCTACAACAAATCAATAAATCAGCCAGACATGGTAACGCATGCCTGTAATTCCGGCTACTTGGAAGGCTGAGGTGGAAGGATGGCCGGAGCCCAGTGGGTGGAGGCTGCAGTAGCCAGGAGCAGTCACTGCACTCCAGTCAGGGTGACAGAGTGAGACTCCAACTCAAAAAAAAATTTTTTTTTTAATGTGGTATGGAGGACTTCATAGGAGAAAGTGAAAACCCTAAAGAAGCAGTTAGATCCAGGGGCTTATATACCATTTTAACAAAGAACAATAAAGTATGGAGATGTGAAAAGAGTAAGAAAAAGGGGGTCTGTACTATAAAGATGGTAAGATATGGGAAAGGCCTTTTCCACTGCTCAAAAACAGTTTTTGAATTCATCAATTGTGATACCTTTTAGTGCTTCTGCCATTCTTTGGTTTCATCTCTTTCACATTGGCAAAATGTTTCCCTTAGAGAATTTTTTTTTAACCAGGGAAACAAAAGTTGCTCGGAGTGAGATTGAATGAATAGCAAGGGTGGCATACAGGGATCATACTGGTTTTGGTCAAAAACTGCTGTACACTGAGTGTGGTGTGGGCAGGTGTGCTCTTAAATCACCCATCATGAAATGGGCAAACACGTTGAAAGAATCTCCCCCAAAAATTCATTGAAGCCAAATGCTAGCTGGTACATTGATGCCAATGGGTTCTTAGAATACTTACCTAGCAGCAAAAGCCTGCACTACAAGGGGCTCACACTCCAAAAAAAAATTCTGTTTTTGGGGGGGGAGGAGGGTCCCCCTCGTATTTCTCTTGGACAGCACTGTGCTAGAGAACACAGGTTGAAAATCTTTGGGAAGGTATTCCTGAGGTGGTGACACTTTAAACTTAGACCTGAGAACTGAGGGTAACAAGGAGACCCAAAAGTTGGTGAGAAAAAACTTGATGGAACTGACAAAACATTGCAGGAGTAGAAACTCAGTGAGATGATGGAGAAAGGTTAAGACAAGGTTAAAGAGGAAACAGGAACCTTACTAAGGAAAAAATTACAAGGAGTTTGGATTTTATTCTAATTGCAATGGGACATCAATTTAAAAGCCAAAGAGTCAGCTGATTTTACATAAGGTAATAAATCAACAACTTGTGGCAACTGTACTTGGAGACAGAAGAATCACTCTTAGTCAGAATAAAAAACAAAAGCAAAAACAAAACTCCTTTGGAGGGCATTCTAGTTGTGTAAGAAGTCCAACCCTGATGCTCTTATCTGATTCTGACTATTGGATCTGACTACTTTTCCCTTCTATTCATAAAGTAACAAGAAATGGGCACCCGGTGATCATGAGTTTTCTGGGACTATTTGCTAAGCTTTGTTTCTGCTTTTTTTGTTTGTTTTTTTTGCACAGTGCTTTGAGCCAGATGCACTGCTACTAATAGCTGGAGGAAATTTTGAAGATCAGCTTAGAGAGGAAGTGGTCCAGAGGGTTTCTCTTCTCCTCCTCTATTACATTATTCATCGTGACGAGATCTGTTCTTCCAAGCTCAACATGAGTAATAGAGAGTATAAATTTTATCTACACAGCCTACTGAGCCTCAGGCAGCAGGAAGACTCCTATTTCCTTTCACAGAATGAGACAGAAGATATTCTGGCTTTCACCAGGCAGTACTTTGACACTCCTAGGAGCCAGGTAAGATGCACAAAATTGCTAACTGGCCCTGCTACTAACATGCAGTTTTAGAGCCATATCTTTTGTTCCTTATTTGTTTCTAAGATATTCAAAGACTTCTAAGGGTGTTAAGTATTTGTAGTTTTTAGTTATGGGATGTTAAGCAACATAATTTAAAATTCTGAATCCAAAAGTATTTGTTGGCCAATTGGAAGATGAGTTTTAGCCGGAAGATGAGTTTTAGCCAGAAGTTGGGTGGGTGGGTGGACAGCCCAGGTGTTCCTCTTCTCCTGAGTCCCCCAGGCACTCAAGTAAGTGTGACTCAAGGCTTTTTGATTCATCTCCAAGGACTGAGCTATAGTGGTAGAGGGCAGTGCATCTATTTGCCTTGCCTTCTGACCAGGATAAAAGAAGGCAAAAACCATTTGAGAGAGTATCATTACTTATTTCCCCAAAGAAGCAGCTTGTAAAAAGCATATTTCATGACCCTTGGCACTAGACAGTACCCCTTTTGTGGCTTTGGTTTGTGCCACTTGTGTACAGGGTTCATTCAAATGCTTCTCCTCTGTCCCAGCTCTCAGCTGTTCTCTTTTGCCTTTGCTATGATTCCAGCAAAATGTGGCCTCTTAATTAGGTTTTGCTTTCTGGTTTGCAGTGGGAGGTTTCAGCAGATAAAGTTCTCCAAACATAAAGTTTATTTGAGTCATGTTTTCTTGAAGAATTCATTAGAAGCCATTACCACATTTTGAGGAGTACGGAGAAACCTGGTTTTTTAAAATATTGAATTATTCATGGACATGTATAGACTAATTTTGGTCTTGGGTCAGTTCTGGCTTCTAGGAAGCCAAAGGTATCTGTGCAATCATGCTGAGGCTTAACAACTAGCATACATATCCTCCAATTTGCTGTAAATATGCTTAATCTTTCTTATTGGCAGAGCAAGTGGAAAGGCTGTTTGCTAAGGACTTTGTGAATATCACATCCAGTAACTCTAATCCTATGAATTTCAAATTCTGGTCATATTTTTCTTTCTGTTTTCATTTTAGAAAAAAGGGTTCCTGGGCCAGGAGCAGTGGCTCACATCTGTAGTTCCAGCACTTTGGAAAGCCAAAGCAGGAGGATTACTTGAGGCCAGGAGTTCAAGACCAGCCTGGGCAACATAGTGAGACCCCTGTCTCTACAAAAATAAAAATTAATAAACTAGCCAGGTATAATGGTGTGCATCTATAGTCCCATCAACTCTTTTTTTTTTTTTTTTTGAGTTGGAGTCTCACTCTGTTGCCCAGACTGGAGTGC